GTTTTGAAGAATTGTGTATATTTGGTGTGAGGTATAGTGAAGAGGAGAATGTGTATACGATTTGGATTTTTTGAGTTTTTTTTCTCTATTGTTTACATTCAGATTAGAGTGGTTGGTGTTTTGTTCAATGAGGGAAGCAGAAGGATAATAAAGAAGGGATTTGATGAAACAGAACTGAAAAAAGTTTATGTCTAGCTTTTCTTTACTTTCATTGAATCTCTAGTGGTCAAATCTTGACTAAAGAGTTACTTTTCTTTTTCTTTTTTTGAAGCTTTGAATGGTAGAGTACATTTCTAAATAGGTCTAAATATTTTGATTGGGATTCCTTTTGATTTTTTGTTCTTGTTGAATCTGAATCTGTACGGTAGATCATGCTTAGGGATTAGAGCGTTGGACCAAAGAAAGAAGACTGAGAGAGAGAGAGAGAGAAAGAGAGAGACTTCCCCCGACGGCAGAAAATAGGGTGTTCCCGGGCTCTCAGACCCATAAGTCATTCATTCACCCCCCCCCCCGAATCTCCTATACATTATATGATTCTCCTATTTATAGAAAAAAGGAGGGGGAAAAAATATCAAAATTACATATTTAGCATTGTTTGAAAGGGAATAATAAAGGCATTCTAGCCGTCATATTATCTTGAGATACATTCATACCATTTTTTAGAATACATATAAGTTCCCTAATTTTCTTAATCATTGATAGCAATTTGTGCAATAAGGAAAAGTAAATTTATAAATCAAATAAATCTTGAACACATAATTTGCTAATGATACCTCTTGCTAAGCGTTTTTCACGCTTGGTTCCAGTGTTTTTGTTGTCATTCACGGGGTCAGAGTTTTTTTTGTCAAAGGAAAGTTGTCTGTTTTCGGTGGCCGGTCGAAAAAAAAGTCGAAGAGTTGCTCGCTCCAGAGGGGAGTCATAGAGATTCTCGCCTGGAGAGGAGCCTTAGAGTCGCTCGCCCAGAAGAAGAGTCTGGGAGATGCTCGCCCCCGAGGGGAATCTTGGAGATGCTCGCCCCGAAGGGGAGCCTTGGAGTCGCTCGCCCCAGAGACAAGTCTTGGAGATGCTCCCCCCTGAGGAGGAGTCTTAAAGTCGCTCACCCCGGAGGGGAGTCCTTGAATCGCTCACCCTTATGGGAAGTCTTGGATATGCTTGCCCATGAATGGAGTCTTAGAGATGCTCACCTCGGATGAGTGTCTTAGAGTCGCTCGCCCCGGAGGGTGGCCTTAAAGATGCTCGCTCCGGAGGGGAATTGTTACGGTATGACTCATATACCATATCGGGACAGACACTGGATCGAAGCGGAGCGGAGCGGAAAAATCTGTCCAAATTGGGAAGTTGCGTGGGTTGGGGTGCGGGGGCAAAGCCCCACGGTATGGTACAGGGGTAATGTTGTAATTACATATTGTGTCTAGGGGTTTACTCCTGGGGTTATAAATAGGCCTGTTAGTAACCCCAGGAGGTATCCTCAATTCTGTAATCTCTTTTCTGAATATTGAAAAGAACTCGCCGCTCTGCTCCCGATGACGTAGGCATCTTTGCCGAACCTCGTTAAATCTTTGTGTTCTTCTGGATTTGTGTCGCTCTTGTTTTTCTTCGCCCTAATTTTCTCAACAAGAATCTTAGAGTTACTCGCCTCGGAGTGGAGTCTTAGAGTTCTGCATCCCTCACGAACCTTGTCGTTGTCGAGTGGTGAATCGTTTTTGGGTCGTTAATACTGATGTACGTCTATGGCGTGGTTAATTTTACTACCGAGTTCAAGTTATAAAAGTGTCAAGTGGTTATCAGTATGCATGAACTTGAACTTATCGAGTCTTGATATATATGAGTTGAAGAGTTTGTAAATCTTTCTTCTTTTGAGAGAGCAAATCGGAGGCAGATGACGGACTAAAAGTTTGTGTTTTGAATGGAGACAACAAAAGCAACAATAAACCGAGGAATGTCACCGACCAGAGGGTAGTCTGTTGGAGGATCGCAATAATTTAATGACATGTAAGTATACATATAAGAATTGAATGGTATATAGATAAATCCATATATAAATTGAGTGTTGGGCATGCAAATCTGCACATAAATTGAGTGGTAAGTATGTAAATCTCCCCTGTTTTAACAGCTTTTCCCAAGACAAAATTTTCCATACAAAGTCCGGAAGCAGCTCTGCGTGCGGACTCTAGAAATATGCCGTCATGTGTGCTACATCAGGCCCACCTAAAAAAAGATATTAAAAGTGAAACTGTGGAGGTTATTAGAGTAGAACCGCCGAGGTTATTGGGAGGATTATTGGAGAGTTATTGGGGCATTAACTTTAATAACACCACAATAAACGTTCAATAACCCCACCATAAACTCTACGGCTTCACTCCAATAACCCCCTGCAATAACCGCATACAATAACCCCCGCAATAACCCTCTACATTAACCCCCGCAATAACCCTCTAATAACATCTTAATAATCTCTCAACAAACTTCGCGATTTCGCTTCAATAACCTCCACGATGTAGCACACGTGGCGACATATTACTGAGTCCGAACGCAGAGCTGCGTCTGAACTCCGTATGGAAAACTTCCTCCATTCGAGGCAATTGATTTGGAAAAATTAAAGCACTCGAAAAGTTTGGATTTCATATCTTCATGGTTTCGGATAAGAGCAGAGCGGTCAGACGGCCACGATGACCAGCTGAGGGAAGGTGAGCCAAAGGGTAGCAAGGAGTGAGGAGATATCCGGTCGGAGGTGTGAAAGTGGTTGCATGTAAATTTTCTGTTCTTCTAGGTGGCCGGCCAGTAGCAGTAGTCGGTCGAAGGTAGTTGGTCAACCAGCGTTATATTTCCAATGGACAAGTAGGTGTTCGACCGACCAACAGGGAGGCTCTCAACCTTCAGGATTTCACAATTAAGATATCTTATTTGCTCCCAATTGGCACGTGTGGAGGCAAACCTGGTCTTGGAATGAGATGTATGTGTGGACGAGGGCCAGAAATTATCCAACCGTCTTTGTCCAGAGATTTTTCCTCCTTATACAGCACCATATTATGTCTGATCTGAAAACAACTAGGGCTACCTCTTTTTGGTCACGAATGGAGATAAGATTGCCAAGAAAATGGTAAACATAATAATCGATTAATCAAGTGTTAGTACTGTTGAAAGCATCGCCATTTGCCCAGTGCTTGCTCTCGAAGCCAACAATCTCGTCGGAGAGTTATTAGCGGTGTAGCACTGTACGCTTCAACCAGTAGGGGAGCAGGGGCCACATCTAGCCTTGGGATGTATACAAGTTGAGTGCTACGTAGGTAAATCTATAAATTTGTGAGAATTAAGTGGTATGTATGTAAATTTTTCCAGTTGAATTATTCCTGTTTCTTCTTAAGGTCACTAGAAAGTGAGGCTGAAGAATGACGAAGCGTTATAAGATATCAAGCCCATTCGCCGACAATGAGCTCCGGTTCTTGGCGAGCCATAAGATATCGATGGCTTTCTTCCCGCCGGCGCCGAAGCAACACATTTCACCGTCATGTCCCTCAAGTAGTGCAAGCCTTGGAGAACAGTAATGACCTCCGACATCTAAGGCCTGTCCTTCCTGGGATGAAGGCTGATGCAGCGCAGGGCGAGCGAGCACGGCAGCCTCGCTCGTACACTTGATCAAATGTTGTTCCGGAAGCCTTCTTTTTTTAAATGTTTATTTCTGACTCACATTTATTTTAAAAATTTATCAGATTTATTTCATAACTTATGTCATTTATTTTATAACTCGTAATAATTTGAGTTATTTATTTTCTTAATTCATAACTTATCTTTTAATAAATGATAACTTAAGTTATTTATTTTTATACCTTATAGAAACTTATGCTATTTATTTAATAGTTTGTGTCATGATAATTTATAATATTTATTTTTGTAACTCATGTAACCCCTAAAATGAATAGAGGTCACTAACTTAAGTAAGTGATTTTAATAATAAAATTAATTAATTAATTAAATTATCATAAATTCTATTAGTTAGTAACCTCATTGATAGATGGTGGTTAAATAGAGCATAATTCAGAGAATGAGTATTTTCTCTTCTTAACACACCCCGTACATTTCTCTTCATCAGAAAGTACAGAAAGTTTTAAAGAATTAGAGAGAGAAACTTCATCTCGTCAAGATCAAATTTTATCATCATGAATACACGTATGTGTTACTTTATTATGGATATATAAAAATCATGAATTTAAAACAACTTGGCTATTATGTATTTTAGAAATTGTGTTATAAAGATCAAACATGAATTTCTAACATGTGGTATCAGAGAACATGTGGTATCAGAGAGACTTGATTACTAAATTTATAATTTTTCATATAATTTTATTTATGTTAATTGTATTAAATTTCTACTGTGAATTAAATCTTAAATTAGATCGCTAAAGTAAATTGATGTGATTGAAATTATTATTTATTTGATGTCGATGTTATGTTTAATTTGTTAGTTACCAAAGTGACCAAAATTAGTAAGTTTAATATACGTCAAACTAAATAAATTCAATTACTCACGAGTATGTGATATTTATTATGAAATAATTCAACATTTTGTTACAAAAATATTAAAATTCATTTATTATAAAATATTTATGGATCGCCCAAAGGTTGATCATTTATTTTATAATCTTTGAATATAATTGTAGTCTATTTATATACTTAGTTAAGATATGTTTATATATCCAAAAATAATAGATATGTCTAATTTGAGTATAAACAATTACCAATTATATTAAAATTAAGTTAAACATAATTATGTTTATTATCGTGTATTGTTATATCACTCAAAGAAGATTTCAATACACTATTATTATTATAATTATCATTTTAATCTGATTTTATATGAATATCTATGTAAATTTAATTTTCGAAGCATTAATGTATAGGGTTGTCAAAACGGCTCGTTGTTCGCGAACAGCTCGTGTTCGGCTCGTTAAGCAACTCGTGTTCGTCTCGT